GATACGGTGCCTGAATGATTTTGCTTTTTCAGCCTGATCCCTGTTTTAATCAAGTATTCAGTGTTTTCCAATCATTTTCATATTGTGGCTGGAAAAGCCTCAATAAGAGTTTTGACCATGAGACGCTCACATTTTTAATTAAAACCGAGGATAATTGAAATTAAGTGAAACAGCTTCTCACTGACCGCCGGTTTAGTTCTGATCAATTCTTCAATAAATGTCCTCACATAAAAAATGCATCACATTCATCATGTCGGACGATGTGAAATGACACTGAGTGGCCACTAATTGATTTTTTAAGTATCGGTCTGAAATATGGGCAAAGCATAAAGTGAATTAGAACATTCGTTAGGATCTCAAACATTTAAAGTTGATCAGCAAAACACTTTGTGAAGAATACATACGTTCCAAACCTCTCACAACTTTAATGTGAGTTTTAAATCAAAACGACAGCGGTGAGATAAAATAAAACTCAATCTCCACACACCTCTCTGCACCTTTTAGCAAATGTGTGTTTTCTCCAACACAGTCATTACGCACATTACAAGGAGACTGCAGAGTGTTGGTTCTTATCGTGTCATGTTTTCCAGATAGCGATCTCTAATAAGGAACAAATGTGTGGATGAGGAGGGGGAATGGTCTCAAATGAAAACTGCAAACAACACTGTTGTCGTCTTCTGTCAGCAGAGCGGTCAGGGCACTCCAGTTATACACAGGTGCTCTACAGAGCGAGCGAGGCCCGCGGAGAACTGAGCAATTTATTAGACATGTTTAAAGTAATATGGTGTAAGTTGGACTTTGATTGAATTCTTGTTTATTACACAGACTCAAGCTTTTCAGTTCTGGATTGTAAACTCATCTCAGAGGAGAAACACGCATCCTTAATCTGAAAAGTTCTTTTATAAACACCCTCTGTGGGTATTTTTCAATCGGCCGGCTCCTCTACCCTCGCTCTTGTCAGTGGCCCCAGTCTATTACACTATCCTCCTTTTTAAAAGACTGCAATTAATCTAATTAGTAATCAATCAGCCGTTGGGCCTCCCGCCTCCTCTGTGCTAATGGAGGATATGACAGGCCCGGACCTTACATTATTAATACCTCCATTCCTGGAGCCCAGGGCCCCCCTGACGCCTGCTGCCAGGGGCCATTGATCACTCCCACAACCCAGTGAGCACCGCAAGACCTGCAGGGAAATATCTAGAATAGGAGGAGTGGAGTTGGGCATGTGATGTCAGTGTGTGTGGGGGATGAATCTGTTTGGGGTTATTTTGGAAAGGGAAGGATTTTGCCAGTTCCGCTCAGGGGAGGTCAAATGGAAGCAAAAACCCTGAAAGCGAGATGTTGGCTTGGTGGTGCGTGCACGGGGTCTGCAGGGAAGCTCGAGGAACACTTCAGAAGGAGATGAGGGATCGAACGTGTGGTGTGTTAATGGGAATGTTGTGCTCTGAAAAGCTCATTTGGTTAATGGGGCTCACCTCAAAACTATTATGGCAGGATAAGGGGCCCTCTCTGCGGGACTATTTCTAGAAAATGAGATTAGAAATTATAGGCTGCCACTAACGCTGGGGAACAATGATCGCAGTGTCGCAATGAAACAATCACAGCAACATTATCCTTCATCTCCCATGTGTTGTATGAGCAGCCGATCTAATGGCCCCGACAGCTGAAGTTACAGAGCCTGATAACGACCCCGCCGTCTGATCTCATTCGCTAAAATCGATATTGGAATCTCTGTTCAGGCTGGAGGAAGAAATGAAAACTGTGCAACAACAAAACCTCTTTGCTCTTCGGTGGCTGTTACGGTCCAGCAGGCAGACACCGTCCTGCGTCCCCTTTAACTGGATCTGCTGACCCTAATCTATCTAACCTCCCTGCCAGCGGCTCCTTATCATGATGCTTATCCAGTGGACATGTTGTTTTTAGGGACGTTCTCTTAAGATTCCAGTGGTTAGGGCTTAATAATTCAGTGGAGCTTTATCTTGAGATGATCTTATCATTCCCAAGTTCATTGTTGAATTTGCGAGAAGGGTTTGGTCACATCTTCAATTACTTCTTTTCCATTTAAAGTCTTGTTTTTAGTATTTTGAGGATTTTGCGCACATTCCCACTGTGAACTCAGCAGAAACATTCAGTTTAATCCACCACTCGATGGACTCATTGACTCAGGAGATGTTTTAATGAATGTTCAAGGACAAATGCAGAAAAGCACTTTCCCTCTTGTTTGGTTTTGTTGCTTTAGATGTTTCCCCAGAGTTAAGGAAACTGTTTGATCATTTTAAATGGATTCTGTATTGGACACAAGGTTGTTTGTGGTTCTGTGTTCTTTACTCTGGCTTTGACTCCAAAAGATACAGATTCTTTTACAGTCTTGTAGTCTTTAATATGTAATTTCCATTTGTATTATTAGTCACTGTGTTTGGTATTTGTTTCGGATTGGATGGGTCTCGTTTGTTAATCATGAGGACTTTTAATGCTCTTGTTTATTCCTGCCATATTAATTATTAAAAAACGAAACCTGAAAAGGGTTGTTGACGTTAAAGCCTGACCAATATGTGAGATATTTAGATATATATGCCAATATGTACATATTTAAAACATGTCAATGATGATGTCATTATAAAACCTTAATGACAAATAAATATGATTAAATCTTGATATTTTACAGTTTGACCATTAAATTAAGAAACAAATATAACCAAAAATATAGAACTACGATTAAGAATTGTTTTCTAAATTGTGTATCCTGGGAAATAAAAGTTTTCCTTTCCACAATCATCTGACACACTGACGTAAACACATGTATGTACTGTAGTAACATGCTCTTCACAGTCACTCAGTGTATCAGGTTTACATACTTTTGGATTCATAACAAAGAGGCTGTTTGATTTTTCTCCGTGATCAATATTAATGTATTGGAAAACAAGACTCGTCTCAGTGTTATTGATGGAGATGATTATCTTCTAGAAAAACAGCTCTGACGGCTCCACAGTGACCAACGGGGAAAATAATTAAAGTAAATGATTCGAGATTGTTTGTTATGTTTGCTACTTATCGTAAAACACATTTCAGACCTGGCACCACTCTCTTTCACTCTCCTCCTCGCCGTTTCCCCATAAAGCCACCGCGGCCCCGGAACCTTTCCACCAGCCAGCCCCGTGGTCTGATTGAAGCCCCGCCCCCCCGTCTTTACACCACCCGGGTTAAGTCGCCCTGAGCCGGCGAGCCAAACCGCTCACAGCGCTGTGCTTCATTTGCAGATGGCTGAGTTGTTAAGTATTTACAGGCCCTCGGTGGCGGCGGTGTGCGTTGAGCTCACAGCAGCTGCAGTCAGCTGCCTCATTCAGGAGGCGATTGGGAAATGCAATGCAGCTTATCTGCTGCGCTTAGCGACTGAGTCAGTGGACTGAACATGTTTTATCCGCGGCTAAAGATGTGAGGAATCGCTCTGCGGCCACAACCTCAGACCCCCCCCCCCCCTCTTCATTTAAGTGCCATGTGGGTGTAGGTGTATGTGTGGGGGTTAAAAAGTGAGTGTGTTTAATTGGAGGGAAGCTTGGTTACAGGAAATCCATGGACCAGTTGCCATTAGTCACCACAGATCATGAGAGGCGATGTGTGTGCGTGCGTGCGTGCGTGTGTGTGTGCGTGTGTGTGTGTTTTCAGGGGTTGCTGAACTTGCAGGAACTGATTTTACAGGAAGTTCATCTGTCATGAGTTCTCATCAGGGTTTTTGTGGCATTTCTGTGGGGAGGCTGCTGGGTAAAGGATGACTGTGCAGTAGCGGACGTGGGCTAACGACAGAGCGGCCGGCGCTGGTTCAAACCCCAGCTGTGCCCCATGAATGACCCTCCAGAGACCAGCTCCGGGCCAGTGAAGAAAGTTTCAACATTCTGAGAAGTTCAGACGGATGAAAACAAGCCCCCAGCAAAATCATGAACGATAAGAAACCTGAGGGGAAAATATAGTTTCATGGTTGATGCTGGAGGAAACTGTGGACGATGCTGTAGATTAAAAATGGGTCAGACTAAAGTGATGTCACCCACCGGTTAGTGAGCTGCTGTTTGGAAGCCTTCAGTTTGGTATTTTGTCCGTCATGGACGATACTAGCTGTCAATCACACGGTGCTTTATGGTCTGTTGGACCCTAAATTGACAATAATAAGACTTGAAACTAGAGATTGAGACATAAACTCCTTGAGACAAATGTTTCCTGCTGTTCTAAATCAAATAAATCATTTTCTCACAGACCTCGAAAGAAACTGACCGGTCATTTTCCTGGTCCACCGCTGGTCAGTGGTCAAACATAAGGAGACAACACTTGTACATTACTTTCACATTAACTTTATTCTACCACTCTGGGTTCCTCTCAGTTGACATCCTGAGGTTTATCAGTTCTGCTGCTGTGCACAACATTTCCTCCAATATGACATATTGTTATTAAAACCAGTTTCTGATGCCCACGCAGTTAACACAGGCACAGGCCTGTTGGACCACATGGTGCATTGTCTGCTGTCAGAGAGCTGACACTTGCTCTATAGACACCGAGTGTGGGAGGAGGTGTGGACATCGAAGCTGAACAATCTAAACTCGTGGCGTGACTGCTGTCAGTGAACGTTCTTTGACAAAGTTTGATTAATGATTTGAATCCATATAAAGGGGAAAATCTCTCCTCACATGTCGTTTTGTAGTCGTGCCCATAAAGCAGCGAGGCCACTTTCTTATCATTGCCACGTTGTGGTTGTTACCCAGCACATCTGGCTCTATTTATGGCCTCTCTGCTTGTGTTAGTTGTGATGTTATGACAGCAGAGTGACTGAGGAGATTACACTAAGAGGACACAGAGACCCTCGCCATGGGGGCTCTGCAGGTCATCGGCCCCATTTAAGCCAAAAAATAAAAAAAGAGTCCGACCCCTGAGGTTTTGCAGCCGTGTGTTTTCAGAGCAGCTGCTCCTCTTGTGTTGTTTTCCATCCTCATGATTTATTTTTCTGTTTTCACAGGAAGTTTGTGGAGGACTGAACGTTTTCGGAGGGAGAACCTCACAAGGGGGTCTCGGCCCCGACCGCCCCACCACCCACCCCGACTTCAGAATCCCACGTCCCACTGTCCCTCGCTGAGGATTTGGAGATTGCTGGGCGTGGAAAACAAAAACCTGTCCGTAAGTTGAGCTGTGATTCCTGTTTTTCTTGTTTTGGTTTGCACACACTTTAAAAACAACCCGGTCCTGTTATTCTGACTTTGAACTTTGTTTGTGTTGTTGTGTTTTCATTGTGTGCAAAATACTCAACTTTACAACCGTGGATCAATAGAGTATCTCTGGATAGTATCCGTGTGCTTCTGGTATCGTGCATGAGAAAGACGATCAATGCCACTCCAGTAATGTCCCATATATCCCTAGACAGAAATAAAACACACAAACAGCAAAAACAAGCTGAATTAAAGCAGATTTAAATTCTGATTCCGGTGCCAAATTCTGATTAGTGATACTTGACATTTCCTCCTTCCATTTCAAACAAGTGAGAAAAAAAGAAAGCTGCAAAAATAACCAAAATTATTTTAGCTCTGGCAAGAAAAAACAGAAAATCTTGTCGGAAACCATCAGTGACGATGAAAAAATTCTTTCTCCTAAGAACAGGAACAGAATTTATTTCAAGCATTTGATGAGCCTCGAGTTCCTTTCACTTACTTTTGAATTATTGCATTTTATATTCATGACAACTTACTGCACCAAATTAATCCTTAATCCTATAAACATTTTCTCAATTCAGATTTCTTTCTGTTTCATGTCACGCTACTAAACTACACAAAACAAAATGTAAATATTCTTTACAATTCTAGTGCATCAGTGAGTTTCTATATATTTTCTCTGGCTCTTATGGTCGGTGTGAGGTTCTGTTTGAATATCTCTTCAGTGTGTTCTAGTACGTTTTATACTCTCAGCCGTATCCAGAGAACATGGCGGGTTGTTAAGATGACTGCAGGGAATAATGATGTATTTGTCTACTATAATTTGAAGCTCACACCCTGCGAGGCTCTTCGTAATGGAGACAGGACTCAATGGTGTTCCTCTATCACACCCATACCTGACTGCTGCAGTATAATAATGAATGCAATGTGTTTTTCCAAAGTGGCACAGAGACTGTTGTTGGTCACAGCTTGGCCTCACACGCCCAGGCACACAAATAAACAGGGGTTTTGTCCCCATGAGCTCTTATTCAATAGCACAAATGCTCACGTTGGACTATCTCGTCATTCACGCCACTTTCAAAGCGCCACCATTGTGCCGTGATCCCTCCGTTGGCCGGCCGTGCATATGTGCGACATGGGGCCATTGTGGAGCATTGTCCATCAGTTTAGGTGAATAGAAGCCCACCACTTCTGCACCGCTCTCTGCTGACAGCTGGGAAACAATAAACGATGGTGAGGCTGAATATACAGGAACCCGGGTCTGAACCAGATCCCTGGCATCACGGTGGCATGAGGGCCCTGATGTGAACAGCCATTTTCTGCCTGTCATTATTGATGACACAAAGACGTATCAAAGGGGGTGAAATGGGACAGAACGGTAGTCAATGCGGGTGCACAGGCGTGAAACATGATCAGACCGCTGAGTAGAATGGAGGTATTATTGTGCCAAAAACCAGAGAGAGAGAGATAGAGGCAGAAAGAGAGCGAGTGGCATTGCTTTCATATCTTGTCACCCACTCGTTGACAGAGCATGCACTGTGTCCTTCCCACTAAAAAATGTCACTTAGTGTGATGCATAGTTTGGATGTTTGAACATTTGTTCACAGCCCACATACTTTGAAGTATAAATAATAAACAGCAGCTCTTCACAAACCCTGCCCTTTGTGTCAGTTTGTACAGAGTACGAGTGATTTAGGATGTTTTAACAGAACCAAACTTTATGACTATGTTCCATTGTTTACATTTGATCTGGTTAGTTTTGGTTTCTCATTGTAATTTAGGGAGCGCGCTAAAGAATGTTGTCTGACATACGTCCGTCCTGTTGTCGCCACCTGTCTGGGCTGCGTCTACACTGATTGGTTTGTAGACGGGAGGGCAGTAGTCTTTATGTTTAAATGAATGAACTGGTCCATTTGGTTGCCATGGTAATATAATGGTATTATCGTTGTTTAGACATTATATCGTCGGAGGTGAAGGGGGCCCTCTTCTTTTTCTTCTTCTCTAAATAGTCTGCTGGTCCAGACCGAGCCACGTTAGTGTGAGAGCGCCCTCGGACTCTTGAAGCTTCACGGTGTGATTGAGCCACTTATGAGTGAATCGAGCTAATTTTATTACAGCTCATTAACTGTGTTCTATCCCATCACCTCTCTGCAGGACCCTGGTTTTAACACCTGTCTGTTCTGCCTCCAAATAAAGGAAACGTTCTGCCAAATGCTAAATAGAGTCCATTGGTACGACACGTCTGCTAAAAGTGCTCAACAACACACTGTATATCTCATCCAGCCTTTCACACACACACACACACAGTCAGACACTGATGGCACAGCATCAGGAGCAGTCAGGGATTCAGTGTCTTGCTCAAGGACACTTGGACGTGCTCTCTGGAGGAGCCTGCGATCCCCAGTGCCACACTGAGGAAGCAGCTGTCTCAGTCGGTTTTCTGCATTTTTTCACTTTAACTTTATATCATTCTGTCGGTGCGTCTGCTCTAGATTTTAAAGCGAGGGTGGTTTGTACCTGAGCCAGCTGAGTCACCAGGATCGCCCCCAGTTTAAACGTCTTTCTTCACACTCTGATAAACTCCAGTTGACCTCTCTCGCTGCAGTCTTTTTTTTCAGTGTCTTTATTTTTCGCCTTCTTTCCTTTTCTTCTCTCCTCGACTTGGGCTCCTGCTCCATGTTAAACGAGGGCAAGGCCACACTTGGATGTGCCGCGACAAATTGGCACAGAGGAGGCAGATGGTGATGGGGAGGAGACTGGTTTTCATGCCATTTGCCGCAGCGACATGAATTGATATCCGTGCCGCAGAGCAAGCACACATGCTCCACTTGTGTAATCCTGACTTTCGTTACCAGACGCACATACACACACACTCACCAGAGCGAACACTGCCACACATGCCACCCTACATCAGCCTTCCGTCCCCATTAGTGCCAATGATGGGTGCAGTGGAGGCGCTCGGTAACTGTCAGGCTCTCGGCTTGGCTCCGCTCGGAGGGGCGAGGGGATGCTGAGGGATTTTTGACAGCGAGACACAGCTCAGACTAATGGTAGGCTGGTGGGAGTCTGGGAGCTTTAACACCCAGCCTACTATAGAGACACATACCCTCACTGATGTACTGTACATGTCAGGAGGCTGTTCTATTTACAGTGTTGGTGTCCTAACAATGTTTACCCGTGCGGGTTCAGTGCAGCTCGACTGAAATCCCTGTGGGTGTTTTTTCATGGCAACGTATCGTCTGGTAAGATCATAGTTTGTCTTTCAGGACTGGCAGCGCTCATTAAGCTGTGGCCCTGGGATGTGGGAATGTTTCCCGATTGGGTTTTTTTCTTCACAGTTGAGCAGGGATTCGAAAGATACACTTTAAACAATGTGGGGCTGCAACAGGAAATGGTGGAGATCGGAATTAATGAGATTTTATCGATGCCAATGCCATTAACACTTCTGTGTCCCGGTCCGATTCTTTATTGATTCTCCATTTCCTGATCCATTTTCTGTGTGAAGGAAAACAATCGGCCAACAGAGATTTCTGCAACCACCTGATTATCTCTGAGTGTGAACACAGTGTTGGCCGGGTGTAGAAATATATGCATTTGATTCAGGTATGCAGAAACTCCACTGTTAAACCTTATTTTCATGCAGAGATGCAGTAACGAGGGGTATGTTGTCACCCACGTAGTTTTGTCTCACTACAATATACAGATGTTCCCCAAAAACATACATATCCGTATAGATGCTAGTTCTCAACTGGTTCTTGTTTCCCCTCTAAAGTGAGCGATGTTGGATCTCGTGCCCCAGAATGCATCACAGGCTCAGGTAGATGTGACTTTGCTGAAAAAATGGTGTTAGTGCAGCTTTTATTAAAACAAGAACACGAAGCTGTCTCTTTAAGTGAAAAGTTACATTGAGATGCATTGCATTTTTTCACCTCGCCAATTATCAAGTCATCACAGCTTGCCCTAGATGGTAAATGAGTTGTCAACTGTAAAGGTGATTCTAGAATCTAATTTAAATAAATTAAAAATAGGTTTCCTCTGAACATTTTAGGCCTGTCAGCGTCTCTGTAGCTTTCTCCTAATTGCAAATGCAAACATTTATAGATGAGCAAATTAGAAAGATCTGAATGACACCATCCATCATTCCACCGATAAAATCCGGTGAACTGCAGTGAACCTTCGTCTCACATTTAAGTAACATGTTTTACGAGTTTGGAAAATTATCTGATACTTCTGCTCAAACTGGACAACTAACCAACTCATATTAGTCTGAGAAATATATATATAAACTGAAACTGCACTGGAACCCATGCATTAATTAATACAATTCTCTGAAAAAATATGAAATAAACCTTATCTTGGAATAAGTTTGTTAATGAAAGTGATAAAAAATCTCTGGCTTTGCTTCAAAATCTAATGGGTTCTTTCTTGGCCCAGGTCCCACCCTTCTACCAAGGTTTGTTGAAATCACTTCAGTAGTTTTTTCGTATTCCTGCTGAAAAAAAAAAACTCCATATTCCCAGCAACTCTAATAAAAAATACTCAATGCCAAGCGTGCAAGGTTTGGCCGAAACATTTTTGAAGTGCGTCTTAATGTCTGTTGGCTGCTTCAGTAAAGCCCCACAGATGCTGGCACAGTTAAAATCAACATACAACCAAGTGTTTCAAGTTACTACATCAGGCTCCGTCAATCGGTACGTTGTTGAATACGGAGCCATAATAGCTTCTGTTTGTAGCTTAACGGATGATTCAAGTGAACATCTCCAACTCGTATTGTAAGAAAAGAGAAAAACACTTCCTGGCTCCAAATGTTATCAACCGTAAAAATACAGGTTTGAAATGAAGTGGGTTTGTTAATGGATCAGATTTTCCTCTCATTAAAAACATGTGTTCGGTGTGTGGGCAGGAGGATGGATAATTACCAGCTTTAGGTTCCTCGACGTGAAACGTGACAGGATAACTTTCCCACGGTTG